TGCTGTGGTGTGGAGTGTCTGGTGAGCCTCCCTGGCCATGGAGCAGCCTGCAAGCATCTAGGCAGATGGGCTGGAGAGTCAGACAGTGCTCATAGGCCGAGCTGGCCTGTGCCTCTTGAAGTGGCCGCAGTGGCAGTGCTGGAGATGTGGTTGGCCCATGGCAAGTGAGCCTGGGTCTGGAGTAGAGCGTGGTTGGGCATGCCAGCTGGGACTGTAGTGCCACCAGAAGAACTGGCCTGGCCCTAGGGAGGCATACAGCCAAGGAGTCAGCTGAGGGATTGGGGTGACAGGCCAAGATCAATTGCCCTGGAGTAGCAGCAGGGTAGCATCCACGCCAAGCTAGAGGTGTTTCTGGCAACAGCTCACCAAGCCTGGGCCTAGAGCACCAAGCCAGATGGCAGGCAGGCATGCTTTGTGTCTGGGGCCTGTTGGCCAAACTGGCCTGGCACTGCAGTGAAGGACAGAAAGGCTGGGGATGTGATGGCTGCTGCCAAAGGAGGTGTGGCCCTGTGGCAGCAAGGGGGCATGTGGTAGGCTTGCACAATGTGCAGGGGCACTGGCAAGCCGGAATGGCCCTGGAGGAGGCAGCAGGTGGCTGTGGGAGCAGGATGGATGTGGGTTGCTTGAGAAGCCCACCTTGCCCTACTGCAGTGGATATGGGAGGCAGTGGTCTGAGGCTTGTGGAATGCCAGCTGAGCTCTAGCGGTTCTGAAGAGGCTGGTAGACAACCTGGGAGTGTGGAAGGCCCTGCCAGAGCCCCTTTGGCCCTTTATTGCCAGGCGGGATGGCAGCATGGGCATGTTGTAGGGCAGGGGATTCAGGTCCTGTGGGCTGGTGCTGCAGGGTTGCCTAAGAAAGCACCAGGATTACAGTGTCTTGTGGGCCAGCAGCTTGCTGAGGGAGCAGGGTTGAGAGTGCTGGAGGCCACATCAGAACTGTTTTGGCCTGGAAGTGCAGGCAAGGCACTATGTGCACATGCTCTGGGGTGTGGGGGATTCAGTTTGTGTGGGCTGGAGCCGCAGGTGGCCATCAGAACAGACCCGGCCCTGCAGAGCCCACTGGTGAGCAGTCTGTTGAGGGTGAACTATCAGGGTGAGAAAATGATAATAAGCTGTCTGTCAATGAAGAAACAGTAGATCACACTATTCATTCCAAGTATATCTGCTAATATTGACTTCTTTTGGTTTCTCTAATATAGAAATAAGGGAATTAATGAATTCTCAGGACTTTTAAAAAAGTACTTTGTTTTATTGCAAAGGCAGATTTCCAGAAAGGAGATACAGAAAGATCTTCCTTCATCTGGTTCACTCCCCAAGTGGCCGCAAAGGCCAGAGCAGAGCCAGTCCAGAGCCAGGAACTTCTTCCGGATCTCCCAGGTGGGTGCACCAAGCAGCAACTGACCCTGTGCCTCTTGGCTGCTCTCCCAATCCCATTCCTGGGCTCCCTGACCCTCACGGAGGTAAGGTGAAGGCAGTGTCTCCTGTGTGTGCAGATCAGAGCTCCGCTGAGTATCTGAGTCCCCTTCCCTGGGTGAGGGCATCCTGCAGACCACTTCAGCATCTTGGGAACCCACCGTAACTCCAGCCACACACCGGGATCCAGCTCCTGGATTCCCAGACAGTGAGCTCCTGGACTGCCCAGCCTCAGTGCAGGCCAGCAGGGAGGGGTCTGAGCTCCTGAAAGATGTATTTCTTGTGCGAACTGCACCCCCACCCTTCCAACATTACTGGAGGTGACCGCCAGCCCTGGCCACAGGCCCAGCAGCCCTGCAACAACAGCTCTCTGGAGGAGGCCACCCAGCCATAGTCACGGGCCTAGCAGTCCCTGGTCCCCATCCTCACAGCCTTGCTGGACGTGGTTGCACGCAGGCTGAGCATCCAGCAGCCTTGCTGGAGGTAGCTGCCCATCTGTGGTCACAGGCCCAGCACCCCGCAGCCCCCCTGGAGGCAGCAGCCCATTGTGGCCAGAGGCCCATTACCCCTAGTCCCTGACCTGGGACTGTGGAAGTTAGAGGAGGCTAATTTACAGGCCTCCCTGTTGGACTAGGGCAAAATCATGTAGCTTGATGAGACCTATTTCCAGGGCTCTGCCTCTCCCCCAAAACAGAGCTGGTCCAATGCGAGCATGGGCAGGAACATCAGGCATCAACTTCCCATGCCTGCCTTGGCTGTGGTGGCCCACTGTGGCAGCCACATTCTGCCCGGGACTTTACCAATGGTGGTAGTCATGACTCTCGAGCGGCCAGTGTGCAGCCACCAGAGGAGAGGTGGGCTGGGTGGCGCAGGTGTGCTGCTGTGGAGAGGGCGTGGAGGCATGGGTCTGCATGGTGGCAGGGTGGGGCAGCATGGGTCTGTGTGTGGGCCGGGCCTCGCAGGGTGGGGTACATCTGAAACCAGAGAAGTCTTCTGTGGGGACAGCAAGAGACCCCAAGATGTGGCATGAGGAAATCTTCCCCACGTGCAGACGAAGCTTTCTCACGCGGTGCACAAGTAAAGAAGCAGCGTGGGTCACCGTGCAGGAGTGGTGGCTGCAGAGTTCCCAGATGAACCCCAGATGTGTGGCAGTGGGTGGAGACCCCTGAGGAAGCCACCAGGAGGGGCCAGTCCATGGTAGGGCTGGGAAGGGGAAGCAGGAAGGGGCGTTCTTCCATGGGTGGCTGTGGTGGGGAGGGTATGTGTGCATGGAATGCAGGGTTGGCTGGAATCCCGGTCAGGGACTGGGAGCAGTGGTGGGGGAGCGTGGGATTCATCTTTGGTCCTGGGGAAGCACAATTCACCTTGGGGAGAAGCGCGCAGGTCTGCATGGGAGAGAGGAGCTGGTTGTTGGTCACTGGAGGGAGCATGTCCAGGACTTCCTTGGGATGTGAAGGAAGCATGGACTTCATCTGGTCAGCATGAAAGTGTGGGGTCTGCCTAGAGCAGGGAAGGAAGCTAGGGTCTGAGGAGGCATCGCCTGGGACCCCAGGTAGGGAGGATGCTGTCCTGAGCAGCTGAGGTGAAGTGAGACTGTACTTTGGAGTTGGTGGAGACCCGTAAGCAGGGGCGGTGCAGGTGGTAGGTTCTGTGTCCCAGGTGGTGAGCTCAGGTCATGCAGGAGGTGGGTGATGGCAGCACAGACATGCTTGCACCATCATGGGATTATCATCTCATTTTTTTTAAAGTTTCATTTTTTTATGATACTTACTTTTAAGTGAAGGGTCTCACCACTCTCCCCCATTCCCTTCCATTCCCCCCTCCTGTGGTTTGTTCCTAATTTTTTACAATGGCATACTCCTTGATCCTTCTATTGTAAGCTTAACTTCCTGATATATGTGTGTATATGTATGTAGGTGTGTATATAAAAATTTACAAACCATAAAATTTCCAGCTCCGCCCAGGATTCATCTGACATGCGATGCTTGGGGAGAAGATTAGTGTAAAGTTCTCCCAACCCCCAAGAGAGGGCTGGACCCCACCCAGTCAGCTCACTGACCAATGACAAGATTTCCGCTACATAAATGTGTATAGTGCTTCAAGGTTTGAGTCTTCCTTCCAGCATAGAGAGTCATTTTTTTTCTTCTAAATTTCCCATTTTCTTGGCCCCTCATACTCACATAGCCTGTTCACTTAGACTGATGCCTACCTAATGCTGTGATATTGCCCCTCAGATAGACATACCCCACAGCCTTAACTGGGTAATATGGATGGAGGTCCATTTGCACCTGCGAGCAGCCAGCTGTGGTGACAGGTGCAGGGAATGGAAGGCAGCATGTCCGGGTGCAGGTGTAGGTGCAGGGTGGTGAAGGGAGCAGGTCCTCAGAGTAAATGTGGGGGGTGACTCAATGTGTAGGTCCCTTCAGTTCCTGACGCTTAGAAAATGTGCACATCTCCCTTGTCAAAGTGGTGACCATCTCACTGCCTGCACTTCCATGGAGGGAAGACACTGTTCCTAGGTGTGTGATAACTTGGGGTTCAGGTAAAATGCACATCCTGAAGGTGGTGGGTTTGGAGCTGGGATGAATCTGCCCACCTGTTCGCAGCTCTGCCCCAGGATTCCTCGGATCTGGATGAAGTCACTCTCCCTGTTGACGCAGACATGCTTGAAGCTGAGCTAAAGAACACCTTACCCCCTAGCCTGGCATGCCTAGCTTTCAGGACTTGGCAATGGAAATGACTGACCTCTGGTCTCGCTTTTCTGCTTTTCAGTGCATGAGGTGAAGGTCCAGATGCAGGAAAGCCTGACCTTGCTGAGGAAGCCCTGCCTCTCCCACTCCACCTGAAGCTAAGAATGCTGCACAGCCTTGCGAAGGTTTGAGCCTGGTTGCTCTCAGTTCTTCCCAGCGTGGATGCGTTCCTGCCTTTCCCAGCCTGCAGGAGTCAGAGGGCGCTGTGCAAGCACACTGAGTCAAGGCCCAGTGGTGATGGTGGCAGTAGTGGTTGGCCATGGATGAGGCTGGTGGCCCTGAGGAAGACTGCTGGGTAAGTGAGGTGGCCCGGAGGTATCCCTGTCCTCATCTGCTCCCTGTTAGGGCCTGGGCCTTCCTTAGAGTCCGTGTGGGGTGGGAGGTCCCTGAACTCAGTTGTGGGAGTTGTGGCTGTAAGGTCTTGAAGGTATCTGGAGCAAGTGTGGGCCAGGTGGCTGCCAGCTCTAGGTGCTCCGTGGAAGCCTAGGTCCCTGAAGGCCTGTCTCTTCCTTGGGGATTCTGGTTTTGAGAAAAATCTGATTGACTTGGGCTGCGGGGTTGTCACTTTCATTAGCTGTGATGGGGGCAGGGCAGGGCAGTGGGGAGCACTGTGGTCCCTTGCAGAAGATTCAATGTTCTGCTCCATCTGTAGTTAGCTGGGATTCTGACAGAGAAGGCAGTGCAGTGTTTGTGGTGCAGGAGGAGGTAGCCAGCAGGGTGAGTCCCCGTTTTTCTCTTGACTGACAGGGTGCTTGCTGTGTGCCTTGCTATCCTGGTGCATATGCACACCTGGTGTGTGTGTGTGTGCTTTCATGAGTCAGATGTGTGGGGTTTGAAATTTTATTTGTTTGAAAAACCAACTAAACAGTTGAACTAAATCAATCAAGTGAACAAGCCAAAATGGTTGGTTAATTAATTAAATCAGCTTATTGATTGAATGAATTGATGAACTTGTTAGAGCAGATGAGTGAGAATCTGAGAGGCCTGCAGAAGGCAGGCCCTGGAAGCTGACTAGGAAGCCTGTCTGCCAAAGGCCTGGTGAGCAGTGACAGTGATCAGAAGCTGAGAAGATGTGCCTGTCTTTTGTAGCCCTGCACCTGAGGGAAGAGGTGTCAAAAGTCAAAAAGAAGGACTTTGAGCACTTGCTGATAGAGGTGATGCAGATGTGGGACTTTCTGCTCAGGATCCTCAATCAGGAAGTCCTGGAGAGTTGCTCCAAGTTGAAGATTGTCAACAAATTGAGTCTCCCTGCATCCCTAGTGGGCATCAGCTCGGGGGTGTGTAATTCATTCATTGCTGGTTCAGCCTAGATGAGCAGCTACTAAGTCAGTACAAGTGACTAGAAAGGATAGTTAAGCATTGGTGGGTGCTGGGCAGAATTGGGCTGCTTTCTGAAGCACCTGCCTTGGCCTGTCTCTCTCTCTCTCCTTTCTTCTGGCTCTCCTACCCATCAGAGCACATTTAGGTCTTTACTAATTGGAGAAAATGAGGTCCTTTCCTTGCATAAATGAAGGACTTTGCTGTGTGGACAGCTGGCATGGAGTTGCTGGCTGGGCCATGTGTAGTGCAGACTTTGACTCACAGTGGAGCTGATGTGAGAAATAGCCTTCCAGAATTCTGCTGCCATCGGAGATTACCCTAAGGGAGATTTGGACCTGGCCTGTCTGGGATGGAAGTAAGATGAAGGTGGTCTTTTGTGGTTAAGGCTACTTTACCAGGCACTGTTTGACAGGGCCCCCCCGGAGTGTCGGTCTGGGCAAGGAGATGTCAGGGGTCAAGAGTGTGAGTTTCTGGGTTGAGCAGATGAATGAGCCTGCCAGCATGAAGCCAGAGGTAGAATGGTGGTAGTGCTATGCGACAACAGCCTTATGCTCTAGGGGTCAATTTTTTTTCATTTTTTTTTTTACATTTTATTATTATTATCATTTTGTGATACAGTTGCATAGGCTCCTGGCATTTCTCTTATCCCCTCCCCAATTCCCTCCCCCCACCTAGTTCCTCTATATCATTACTAACATATAGTTCTTCCTACACAGTAATATGTCCATCATTGCAGGCATGGACAATGGCAGAGTCCAGAATCCTTTTGTCAAGATATAGTAAAACAGTTTCATTTTAAGCCCATCTTTGACTGGAGGCAGAAATGCATCCTACACTGCATCCTCACATCTGAATGTTAGTCTCCATTTTGCAGCAAGTGTACATCCCCTTAAATAGAAAGTCATGATACAAAGTCAACAATAGAAAACATAGAAGTTTACAATGCCAGGAAGTTAAATGACATGTTACTGGATATGACTGTCTCCATTACACAACTACTGTACAGCCCCTTAATTGAAGAGCCACAAAACAAAATCAACATCAGGGAGAAATAGGATATTAACAACACCATGAAGTTAAACAACATGCTATTAAATGACTAACATGTAGCTGAAGAAATGAAAATCAAGAACCTTCTTGAAGAAATTGATGCCACTGCATGTTCTACGAGTCATTGAATGATTTAATCAGAAGAAAGTGTTTTGAAGAGATGAAACCAACAGGAAAGAACAAAACCCATGCAACATAGTTTCTGCTGATCTTTGTTGGTGAAGTGTGTCTCTTCCAGACAATAGACAGACGGGTTTTGTTTTTTAATCCAGTCTACTCATCTATGACGTTTGATTGAGCTTAAACCGTTTACATTCGGAGATTAATATGTATGGGTGGTACTTTGGTCCTGTCATTTTAGGAATGGGCTGTTTGTTGGTTTAGTCTTCTGTTGTCATTTTACTGGGATATTCTTCCCATTTGCCTTTGGTTTTGTTTGGTGCTAGGCCTCTTCTCTGTCAAGAGAACATCTTGAAGTGTCATTTGTAGGGCAGGTTTGAAAGAGGCAAATTCTTTTAACTTCTCTTTACTGCAGAACAGTTTTAGAAAGGCACTATTAAGAGACCAAATATAAGAGTTATGGGAGTCCCGGAAGGTGCAGAAAGAGAAGCTGAGTTTGCAAATGTGTTTAATGAAACAATAAAGGAAAATTTCCCTAATCTAGAGAAAGAATTGGGAAACAACATCTAGGAGGGGCAGAGAACTCCCAACAGGCTTGACCAGAAGAGATCTTCACTAAGATAACCTCAGGCTTCCTGGCCTGTGATTGCAGAAATGGTCTTTGAAGACAAAGGTCTATGGGGGCAGAGAAGGCCTCATGCAACAGGACCTTTGGGTAAAGTAATGGCCTCACCCATCTGGGTCCTGTGAGTATAGATGTGGTCTCGCAGAAGAGGGATCTGAGCTTGCAAGGATGGCATTGTATGACACGGGCCTGTGGGTATGGGATGGTATCCCACCACATGAGCCTGTGGAGTTTGGTGTCAGGTTCCTTTGGAAGTGGGTTGGCGGGGCCATGCCAGGGCCTATGGGTGCGGGGCAGTCCTGGTGTGATTTTGGCCCGTGTGTGTGGATTAGCTCACCATCTGGTGCCTGTGGGTTCAGAGATGGCCTTGCGCAACAGGGGGCCTTTGGGTTCAGGGTGGCCTCACATGCTAAAGGCCTGGGGCGGGCGGGGGTGCGGAGGGGAGGGAGGCAGCACTGTACAAAAGGTGTCCATGGGTGTGGGTTGGCCTCTCATGCCACAGAGGCCTTTGGGTGCAAGGAAGGCCTCATGTGTTGGGCTCATAGGTGCAAGTACGGTCTCTGTGTGCATGGCCTGTATGTTCAGGACAGCCTTGTGTGATGGGAGCCTGTGGGCTGTAGGGTAAGGGACTTTTGGGTACAGGGACAGCCTTGCCTTTTAAAAATCTTGTGGGTGTGGGGTAGGGCTAGTAAGACCTTAGTCCATGCATGTGTTGACAGCTCCCATGTTGAGGGCCTCTGTGTTCAGGGACAACCTAATCCACCTGGGTCCTGTGGGTACAGGACAGCCTCTCATGCCATGGGTGGGTGCAGGTTCTGCCACAATGACAAGGGTTTGAGGGAGCAGGGGTGGCCTCATGTGTCCAGGGCCTATGCATGTGGGGATAGCCTCGTTGGTGCAGGGCTTGTGGGGTCAAAGATGACCTCACCCATCATTTTTGTGGGTGCAGGGATGGCCTCAAACAAATGGTGCCTGTGGGTGTGGGGATGACTGTGTGTATGCAGGGTCTTTGGGTGCTTAGACTGCCTCATGCAACAGTGAGCTGTAGGTATAGGGATTACAACACATATCTGGGACGTCTCTTGTGGAGATGGCCTTACACGTCCAAGGCCTGTGGGTGAAGTGACATCTTTATATATCTGTGGCCTGTGTTTGCATGAGAGGTCTTAATGGGTTGTTGGATGACCTTGTAGGTCCAGGGTCCATGTAGTCAGGATGGACTTATGTGTGCCAGGATGGCCTCTTGCGAGAAGGACCTGTAGGTGCAGCATGGCCTTGCACTACCTTGGCCATTGGTTGTAGATGTGTCCTCCTCTGACAGAGGCTGTGTGTGCCTGATGGCTTCCTGCAACTTGGTGCTGTGATCCAGCATGGCATCAAAAATTGGCCCCTGTGTTTTCTGGGAATGCCTAGAAAGCAAGTGTCTGTCGGATCAGTTACAGTCTTGAGTGACCCAAAGGGGTTTTGGATGCAGGCATGGTCCTGCATGAAATGAACTTTTGGTTGCAAGGAAGGGTTTATGCAACAGGGGCCTTATTGTGCAGAAATGATCTCATGTGATAGGGGCTGTTGGATCAGGATGACCTTATGTGACAGCACCTGTGTATACAGGGAAGGCCTCACATGACATGTGTCTTGTGTGCAGGCATTGCCTCACATGATGGTGACCTGTGTGTGCAGGGAGGGCCACACAATGAGAGTGGCTTTTGGATGCAGTGATAGCCTCATGTGACAGACAGGTCGTTTGCATGCAGAGCTGACTTGATGGGTGTGCGATCTGTAGATGCAGGGTGGCCTCTAACAACTGGGTCTGTGAGTACAATGATGACCTTGTGTGACAGAACTGTGGCTTAGGATGACTTCACATGACACTGGCCTTCAGTTCCATAGATAACCTTGTGTGACCGGAGCATGAGGATGCGGGGATGGTCTCACGTTACAGGGATGTGTGGGTAAAGGATGATCTCCTGAGTCCATGTTCTCTGGCTACAGGGATGGCTCAAGCCAGAGGCCTTTTAGTTCTGGGATGGGCATCGCACCTTGGCCCAGCAACCCCCAGAGCAGGTGATCACGCTTGCTTGCTTGCTGGGCCAAGTGGGATGTCCACCTTGGATGAAGGAGTGTCTCAGGGAATGGATCGAATAAGGAGGCACGGTGGACAAAAGTGTCCCTAACCAACCTCGTTTGTTTCTGCAGGGAGTCCAGCAAGCAAGCATTGCATGCCACATTCTCTCAGCCACTTCTTCAGTAGAGTTTTCTGGGTCCTGATCTGTACAGAGGGACAGGCAATGGGCAGGTGAGTGCTGTGAGAACCCAGGACTGGAGAGACCAGGGTTTTGCATCAGAAATGAGGCTTCCTGCCTCTGTCCTTTGGCATGGTCCCTGGACTGGGTCAGGGCTCCGAGTGGAAGTGCACAGGTGCCATATCCTCAGAAGGCAAGAGGATGCCTGTTAGTGGGTGGTCCCTTCCAGCCTCTTTCCCAGGTGGGCACATGTGGAATGGAGCTCCCAGATTCCTCCCACCCTTTGAGTGTCATGATAGACCAGCTAGCTGCCTGATGGCACTTGGACACTGACGGGCTATCCTCATGATTTGCCTCCGTTACCGTGGATCAGCTGCTGAGGCTCAGGCCTGGGCTGGCTAGCTGCCGGGTCAAGGGAGCACACTGCAGTCACCTCATGGAACTGCACCACGAGGACCTTGGGAAGAGCTTGGCAGTGAGCACCACAGCTTCCCAAGTCCTGAGTGTCTGCGCCACAGCCCCAACCTTCCTGGCTGTATAGCCCAAACTACAGCACAGGGCCTGAGGCCCCGTTCCATTCTCCAGGCCCAAACACTTTTATTTTCTGGGTGTGTGGGGCCTCCCCAGGTATAGCACCTGCCCATTTCAGAGAGCCTTCCACCAAGATGGAGGGTGACTCCCAGTGGCAGTTGGACTATTCCATTTATGAGGAGGGGTGAGCTGGTGGCGAGAGGGTGTGTCACAGGCTCTGGTGGGATGGGTTCAGACCTGTATTATGCTGGGATAGAAAGTGTACCAAAGGGGCCATCATGATGCCCTAGCAGTTGTGTGTTGTGGCACCACAGGCCTGTGGGATCCATGTTCCCTGGCTCTCCCTGGTCCCCCATAGCTGGCTCTGCAGTGGTACGCTCCAGTTGCCAGGAGTGGATTGTAAACAAAGCCAGTATTCTTTCCACGGAGGCTGTGGATGGTGGTAGTGGATATTTAACCCTCTTCTCCGTGGATGGAGCCCCCCGGGGCCACCCCACATTTATATGTGGGGTGGTTCCAGGATGAGCTACATGAAGTGAGTCTGGGTGCCCTCAGGGTTATGTAATCTGAGCCAGTGTGGTCTCAGGGTCTGAGGCCAGCCCTCACTGTGGCCAGGTGTATTGTGTGGTTTGCTCCTGTGGTAGAGCAGGACCTGGGTATCAGGAACTTGGTCTACTGGACAACACAAAGTATGGGAATGGTTCTTGAGTTCCAAATGAAGTAGCCTTTTTGTTTTAAAGTTTGAGCGGGGGTCAGTGACACATGGTCCTTCCAACTCTGACAAAGTTAAGGGCAGAAATCCCTAAATCCATGTAGTGATGAAACCTCTTGTCTTGAAAGGACAGCTGAGCTAGCTTCAGAGTTTGGGATTATAATTCATCATCTTCCAATAAAGAGTGCCCCTGAGAGATACTTTTAAGTGAGATTGTTTACCCTCTTTTATCTTTGTCTTGTTAACAGAGATGATATTGTTAAAGGATAGCAATTATGAATTCCCAGAGGTTTTTTTGTTTGTTTGTTTGTTAGCTTCAGTTTATTATTAGGTAATAGATTTTTCCTGCTTCAGTATTCATGGTAGTAGTTGTTGGCATGTTAAGTGGTATTTCTCTTGCCATGTTTTATTACACACTCTTATTGTTTTGAAAGACCATTTAAACATTGAGGCAGTTGTAATTATTCTGTTTATTCATTTATTGTACTGTAGGTGTGTGTGTGTGTTTGTTGTCTGAGCACCAGCATCAAGCTGTGCAGGGGGAGAGAAGACAAAAATGAGTATAAAACACTAGTATAAAGAATCAAATGCTTACTGAAGCATACACACAACCTGCTAGGGAAATTGAAGGTTGGAAGAGATGGTATTTTCTTGGATGAGGGAAGTCTTTAGGCTGAGGAGCTGGTTTAAGCAGTGGAGGCATGAAGCACAGTGGTGCATGAAGAGAAAAGCAGCTGTGTTAGTGGAGAGTGGGCTCAGGAACTGATGTGTTGGCGTGCTTGCTAGGGACATAGAGTCCAAGTGCTGTAGGTGTTGGGGAGCTGGTTGAAGCCTTTCCGGGAGTTAGACTTGGGCCTTCCTGAGCCTAGGTAAGGATGTAGGTTAGATGTCAGAGAAGCAAAACTCAAGATAGAACTGAAGTGAATGATAACAGAGTGGTAGGGCTAGAGGAGGAAATAGTGAGTAGGCACATAGTTAGGCACTAAAAGTTAAAATGAGTATTACTTCATTATTAGATATGAAGGATGAGAGAAAGAAGGAATCTGGAGTAACTGCCAGCTTTCTGGCTCTGGCAATCTAGGCATCCCAACGAGAGGACCAATTCTTTTTCTGCCTCTCAAAAAAATTATCAGGCTTATTTACTTGGTATATATTAAATAAATATATAGAGAGCAGCCTGGCTGCGAGGATTAGAGTTATAAAAAAGATCTTGGAGGGGAGAATACTTGGTAAGTTTTTTCCCCCCTTAGGCAGAAAGGTCTACTGTCTACCGAAGGAAAATTTGCTATAGAGATTTTGGATTGAAGCCCAGAAAGAACTAAGCCTGTAGTTCAGATTGCTCTTTAAAATGCATTTGTCATCTTCTTCTTTTCCCTGCCTGTGTGCTTTATTTTTCGTAAAGTGGCATCTGGGGCTTGATCCAGAGAGAGTTGAACTACAGAACCAGGTTGAAAGTCTTGAGCTGTATTTTGCTCAAGACCAATGGGAGAGAAGAAGTGATTTCCAAGGTCACAGTTATGGCATCACAACCATGAAGGGCCAAAAATAGAGCTTCCCTTTCAATTTCCCGGGTGTGAAAATAGATCATTCCCTCCTAGATAACAGGAGAAACCTATAGAGTTGGAGTGCAGGGCTTCAGAATCTAAACGCATGGGCAGAATTGTGACATCGCTGATAAAGTTACCTCCCATGACATTGCCCTCCCACACTGCAATACTGGCTGCACCACTTCTGATCCACTTCCTCTGATGCACCTAGGAGAGCAACAGAAGCTGGCCATGTGCTTGGACTCCTGCATCCCATGTGGGAGACCTAGATCTGGTCCTAGGCACCTGTCTTCGACCAGACCTAGCTGCCAGTTTTTGCCATTTGGGGAAGTGGAGAGAAGTCTCTGACTCTTTCTCTTTCACTCTACCTCCCAAGTCAACAAAATGACTCTTTTTAAACAAGAACTCTAAACCCAAAGTACTGTCAGTGACTTTTAGACTTTTTAATTGAAATATTTGTTTGAGAGTTGTGAAGATTGAGTCAGGGAGTCACGCATACAACTTGGCTTTCCCTTGTGGGGGCAGGACCTCCGTTACTGGAGCCATTGCTGCTTCCTCGATTCTGCATGAGCAGCAAGCTGGAGTCAGGAGCTGGGACTGGGAATTGAGCAAGGCAATTCTGTGGAATGTAATCTTAATCATTAAACAAAAGACCCACACCTCAAAGTTCATTTGAAAGCTTCAGATAACTTTTTTTTTTCCTTTCCAGTAGGGAAATCGTTTCACGGAGAATATAATATACTTTATATATATATAAAACCCAATTTGGTGTTAAAAAGAAGGAAAGTAGCTGAACTTACATTACTCAGCTTCTTTCTGTGGCCTTCTCTGTTCCTGTCCCATCATTTGGAAGGTGTGGGGGCGCTTGTATTTGAATCCAGTTTGAGAAATTCCTGCTTTTCTCTCTATCGTGCTTCTTTTTCACTGAGTGATAGTAGGTAGAAGTTTCCAGAAGGATTTCCTGTGGTGCCTTCTATTTGTTATGATTCTACAGCCCGTTTCCTGAAAGGAAAATAATGGAGTTGGCTATATAGATTTGGATCTCTGTTTACTGCCTCAATTGCATTTTTAAGAACTGAGTTTTCTTTGTCTTGAAGGTTGTTCCTACAGTACCTGAGGATGCTGGACAAAGAGATCATCCCCATGGATTTCTATGGGGTTGCGATATACGTCCAGCCATTACTTTTGTTCTCATTTGCATTTTTATATGGAGAATTTTTCAATTTGTAAGTAAACAATGCTGTATTCAAAAATGTTGGTTCTGTCTTTAAGTTGAACAACTAATGTAAGAAATTTGTATTTTTTGAGAAAGCAAAATCACATATATGTCTAAGATAAAACAGAAGGGGTATAGAGCAAGTTTTTAAGTATAAAATTTTGAAAGAATGTCCTTGGAGAAGTTTTCTATGGTATTAATACCCAAATACTTTTAGTTCTTCCCCTGTTGTTTTTTAAAGTTGATTCAAATGGCTGAAAGAGCGAGAGAAACAGGGTGACAGACCAAAAGAAATCTGAGCTGAGAACTCAGAGTCTCCCACATGAGTAGCATGGCCCTACTAGTGCCTCCTGTGGTCTGTATTGGTAGGGCTGTGGAGGCAGGAAGTAGAGCTGGAGATTGAATGTAGGCCCTCTAGTTTGCGATGTGGCCATGTTACCCATACAGTTTTCAATCAGTAGGTCAAGTTGAGCAGTTTATCATAATGATGAATGATTATTGATGTATTTAGTTTCTTCGAGCATAGTTTATTAACTTCTTCCACTTAAAAAAGAAAGCTTATTTATTTGATGCTTTCAAGTAAATGAGCGAGAGGCGAAAAGCAATCTACTGGCTGATTTATTCCTCAAGTGGCTGCAGTAACTGAGGGCTGGGCCAGAAGGAAGCCAGGAGCCAGCAATTGCATCAGTGTCTCTCCCATATGTGACAGGAACTCAAGTTCTTGAGCAACCATTAGCTGCTTCCCATGTCAATAATAAGGACTTGGACTGGAGCTGGAGTAGCTGATCCTTTCTCCCAGCCAGTCGCCTCTCACTTGGAGCTGAGGGCGTTGGCATGTAACCACTCTCCTTCTCTGGGTCACAAGAAGCCATGCAACAGGAAGGGGTGCACTCACTGTCCTGATGGACATAGATGAAAATACAAACTTCTCTCTCCCCCTTTCCTCACTCTGCACATCTATCCCTGGATGTGTCTGTGACTTCTTCAGCATTTACATAAACAGGACCGCGAGGAATTTTAAAAGGTGTGGGGAAAGCAGGATTAATTAATTAATTTCTTTGAAAGGCATAGTTGGAGGGTGGATGAAGACAGAGGGAGGGGAGGTATTTTTCAGTTGCTGGCTCAGTCCCCAAATTTTGGCTGCAACCAGTGAAGCTGAGCCAGGCCAAAGATGACAGGAGGCAGGAGTTTCATCCGTTCTCCCAGGTGTGTGGCATGGGCCCAAGAACATGGGCCACTTCCCACTGCTTTCCTAGATGCATTCACAGACAGCTGAATCTGAAATAGAGCAACCAGCGTCCATAGGAGATGCTGCTATCACAGGTGATAGCGTAACATACTGTGGCACTGTGGCGGCCCTTTGAGCGTCTTTGCATTTGATGTTCTGATTTCAGTATCATGTGTCTAGCCATAAAATTCCTTTGTCTTTTCGACTTCTCTAGACTCAGGATTGTCTTTATGTCAATTTGGAGAAATCTCTCCATTTAAGAGTCAGTTTCTCTTTTTGAAGTACTATTGTTCAGATATTGGCTCTCCTTTTATTTTTTCAGTTTTTACTTTTTTTGAAGATTTATTTTTTATTGGAAAAAATAGATTTGCAGAAACAAGAAGAGGGAGAGGAAGATTTTGCATCTGCTGGTTCACTCTCAATAATGTCACCACCATAGGTGATGCTGGCAGGGACTGAGCTGATCAGAAGCCAGGATCCAAGAGTTTATTGTGCGTCCCACATGGGTGCAAGGTCCCAAGACTTTGGACCATCATTCAGTGCTTTTTTTGTTTTTTGTTTTTGTTGTTGTTGTTGTTTATCAAGTTTGGAGGAAGTTTGAATCGAGCATCCAGGCCATAAGGATGGAGCTGGGTCTGGGTGGGAAGTCGAGCAACCAGGGCAAGAACTAACATCTGTGTGGGATGCTGAGTTCTAGCAGGCAAAGGATTAGACATTTGGGCCATCCTTTTGGCCACCTGGTTTTCCTTTAAGCTTGAGGAGCTTCCCCAAATAATGTTCTGACTTACTAGTTTACTTTATATTTGTTTACATTTGTAGGATTGTATTGTAGCCTGCTTTTTCTTGTTTAATTTTATCTGTATCCTTATTCTCTAGATGAATTCCGTTTCCTTTTATCTTACCTTTCAGCCCTCACTAAGCTCTTAAACTGGATTTTTCCCTTGCTTTATTATTTGTTAAAGAGAAAGATCAAAGAAGAAGAAGATTTGCTTTACTGTTTTCTTTAGAGTAGTTGAGACATGTGTCCAATTGATAATATTTCTCAGGTTTGAGTATTAGCATTAGGAGCTATGATAATAGAATTGCCTGAAAACATTTGTCTTAGGGCCAAATATGTTTAGGGAACAATAGGCGGAGTGAAATGAAACAGGAATCTTTACCAAAAACCATTTCAGAGCTGTTGACATAATATATACTTTAAATTTTTGATAAGAGGACATTAATGTGTAGTTTTTCTCATTAGAGCATTTGTCTTGCGGAAATCACTTGTAATATTTAATTGGCAGAGGTAAAATTAAATTTACATATGCTTATTAGCTATATATATATTTGCCTTAACATATTTTTTGTTAAAAATTTGTTTCAGATTGCAAGCAGGCTTTATGTAGGTAAGCAGTCTTTTTCCTATTTTAGGTCTCATCAGTTTTCTGCATAAAATTTTTAAATTACATTTTATCTTTTTTTTTTTTTTTAGTAAAAAAGAAAAAGCTTGCTGTAGAACACTCTGGACTAATAAAAGAAAATTGTGATCTACTTGACAAACCTAACTTTCTAGAAAAAGAGGTAAGAGTTTTGAAAACAAAAATAATTAGAGTCAGGAAATAGTATTTATATGTAGATAGTTTTGTGTAAACAGTTGATTTGGAGTGTATGGGCATTATGCTGTTCCTCACTTCAATGCTTAACAAATCTTACTAATTTTAGCCATTTTGTTAGAAGTGATGTGGTCCCATTGTGGATTTACTCCATGTTGTCCTAATGAGTTTCTTACATTTTTTAGCTCATTTGATTTTCTGTTTTATGGACTTACCTTTTCACATTTAAGAAAGTATATTTGTATTTTTCTTTGTGTTAAGTGTTTTTTTTTTCTATATTTTATAAAGGAGCCCTTCCCTCAATATATGTGTTTCAATTCTCTTCTGATTTGGCTTATTTTGATGATGTTTCAAAATTCTGCTACGAACTGATGTTTTCATTTTCTCTCTGTGTGAAGCCCTGCCTTCCAAACAAATGAAAAAAATCTTTATTTGAATGATTTATAGTTTGTGCTCACGGTGTTGGTTTGTTTCAGTATGAAAGCTTAGAGCGATCTTTGCAAGATGCCAGCTTTGAGGAGTCGGAAGAAGGGCAAACTTTGAAGTTAAAGAGAACAAATGACTTCATTTTGAAAGCTGGGGCGAGGAGTGTTGCTGACTAACATAGACTTTAAAGATACTATGTTGTCAGCAAACTCTGTTTCAAAGAAATATGAAAAAATATGGTAGTTTTTATAACTTACAAATGGTTACATATTGGAAATAGACCGTTGGTAGTACATGTTTTGAGTGACGCCTATTCAGCTCGTAGGAGAGCTCTGTAGAAGCTCTTTGTTCTTCCTTCTTGGAAAATCTGTGAAGTGACCTTTCCTTTTTTGGACTCAGTTTACTACACAGAGAGACAAAGGATTCATTCAAACAAATTTAGGACTAGTTGGCAACAATGAATTATCTAAATTGTGTCATGGTATTGGCCTAGATGTAATCCTCAAGAATATTAGGAATTATTCGGAATTGGATCAGAAGTTGCATTATAAATATTGATGTGCTGCTAAGTGTTTCAGAACTGGCTCTCCAAAAATCACTTGCTGAGTTCTGGGGAAAAAAAGAAAGAAAGAAAAAAAAGGTTCCCAACCTGGCCAGTCTCAAGTTACCAACCTGAGGTTACTGAATGAGGAGTATTTTTATGATCCAGCTTTCCTGAGCCTGGTGTGATTCAACTCCTTATAAGGAAAATCCATTCGATTTTAGCTAAATTAAGATGTATTCAGCTAAGTGACTGGAGAATCTCACTGCTGCTTAAAGATTGAAAAGTCAAAACCAGAGAGCACAGATGCAAGATGCTGATGGTATAAATTGGGTCACAAATATGGTACATGTATTAATCCTTTCTTCTTGTGTTAGCTACTATCAAAAATAACCATATGTATTTGCTTACCACTTAAAGTTATTGCCCCCGTAGTAATTGATTAGAGTTTTGATCAATTGGGAGAATTTTAGAAAGCATTTGGCATGCTAACAGAACAGAAAAAACTCAATAGCAAGCACATTTATTCAAGCTGGGTTGTATGTGTAGACAAAATGAAATAATGAAATATACCAGCTTGTTGTGAAGACGATGCAGTTGTGTAACATAGCAGAATGAAAAGTCACAGTCTTTATTTTCTGGAATAGTAGTAATAATTGAACGCAAAGTACGTGGTAGAATGTTAAGAAATTTAGCAGTAGAATCTATAGATACAAATAAACCAGTAGAGTAACTCTAACTCAGGTCAGAGAATTGCTGCAACAACAGCTAAATTTAGAGACATAGGAAAAACAAGTTTTTTTTCAGCAGCAAAACATAGAGCTTTTCTCCTTTTATTTTTGCCTGTTTACATTCTTTGATTTTGGTTTTCAATTTTACACAACTTCGTTGAAGGGTCGTGAATAGCAGAGACATTTAGTATAGTGGTTAAAATTCAGTTGGAATAATTAATCACTTAACTTTTTTTAATTGCACAATTATTGTAATTCATATCAAATATCAAATCTTGATTTGTGTTTAACTCTGATTTGATGACACTATTTAATATACTCAATTAGGTTATTTCACCCTAAATGTTTATACTTTGCCTATGAAGAAGATTGTTGGCACCCACTAGAATTGCTAAGATCTTACTGTTCTGAAAATCATCAGAATCTATGAACAGATTTAGCTAATACTACATATGTTTGGTTGAAGTCACCTGACTTCCCCTAACTGAAAGCTCCCACATCTGTCTTACCAAGTTGGCTTTTTTCTTAGGCAACCAATGAACAGCTGAAGATTTGCAAATCTAAGCTGGACGATAAAGTTCTTTCCGTTGAAAAACAATTTGAACAAGAATTGGAAAAATGTGATCGACCTGAATTGGTAAGGCTTTTTGTTTTGTATTTAAGGAAAATGCTACAAAAAGAATGCTTATGGGATTTCAAAAAGTAATGGTATTGACTAAAGTATATCATGTACTGTACGAAAAGGTAAGGAATACAGAGGCCATAAAAGAAAGAGCAACATTTTCCACCTCCACCATTTTCCTTTCTTAGATTCCATATATAAAGTGGGCTTTCCCCCCATGTTTTCATACAGAACTTTCTAAACAATGCCAATGTAGCTTACATGAATAATTTTACAAAGTTGAATGATCACATACACACTGGATAGTTTTTATTACTTAAAATGTTTGGTCAGGACAAGCAAGGGGAATCATGATGTGAGTTTAGTTAGTCAGATCTGCTGTGCATGGAGTGATGAGCCCTGGGTAAGTTAAGTGTTGGGAAGTGTCAAAGTTGAGATACTGCGTTTTGGAAACTGCAAGGGCTTAGTAAATACTTGTCTCTTGACTGATACTTTCTTTGCAGGTGGCAAAGATTTTACCAGCGTTACAGGCCCTAAAAGATGGAAGAAAGTCCCTCAACTCACAAATTGCTGACGTAAGTTGAATTTGTCTAACACTTGTAGCTCTGTTATTTTTGAAATAATTTAAATTTAGTTCTTGTTTTTATTTTTCAGGAATACTATATAATGTTAGGGTTTCAGAGTTAGATCTTCAATTTCCATATATATATATATATATATATATATATGCACGCACCCATAAGGCATTTCAGAAAAGTTTATAATAGTATACAAATATTTGAAAAGCTGTTGCTCTACTAAGCTTGTTGAAGGTGATTGCTATTTAACATATTAAGACAGAAAAAAAACCCTCATGGAGTTTGACTTTCAGTGGCGGATATACAGAATACGTAGTTGGTAAAATCTGCTATGCAATACGTGGCCATTGATAACAGGCTGTCATTTGTGTAAGGTCACATGGCAGATTAGTGGCAGAGCTGTACTTGATTCTTTGCTCTGTTTTCCTGCTATTCTGGAATACCTCTGCTGGCATTTTGCTGCCGTGTTGGTAGGTACACTGCCATGTTGCTATGTGTTGGAATGCTTTGGCCTTTATCCACATAAAGATTCCAGGGAGTCCATGTTATTGACCTAATGTTTTTTTTTTTTTTTCTACTTAGGCTACAACAACGACCAGACCATTTCAAATTATTCATGAGGCAATTAAGGCAGAACTAGAGAAGGTTTTCAATGAAAATGTGCAGCTTCACCAAGAACTGTTGCAGGTTTGTACTCTAAGTGAATCTTGCTTTCAAGTATGTAATGAGAAGAGCTTTGGGCATCCTTGTGACCAACCACATGTTAAGAGCAGGGTGGTTTTTGTTTTTTGATTTTCTACTTAATATCATGGTAGGGTACTTCCATTGCACTCTTGTAACTGTGTGTTTTGGATAGTGTATATTCTTCTGGTTCTCTTTCCTCGGAGTGAAAGTAAACCAGGGTGTTTGACACTTAGGCAATCACAGCAAATAGCGTTTAGCACCTGTTGCTTATCCGGGGCTTCGAGGCAAAATGGATCCTGGAGGTAGTTCAAATGAGGACTGAACATGTATCCTTTTTCTCCCTGTTTATATAGGCAAGACACACAGATTCTCATGTGTTCCGTTTCCTTTTTTCCCCCAATCAATTTATAGTTATTCAGCAAGAAACTTTGCAGTAATTGCATTACTATGACTCTAAATGCTTTATCTGGATCATTTAATATGATTGCATTTTCTGTCTACCTTCTGTCAACATTTTCTCTAATATTAATAATAATTTTGTTTCCTGTCTATCTACCCATAACTCTCAAAGAGAGTTATGCATCTTTGATGCATTTCGTATAATACCTTATGGGTTTATGCCTCTAACATAACAAAGCACCAGTCTTTTGCCATCTTGGTGTCAAAAACAAGTCAGGCCTGTGTTAAGCTTGTGATCAAATCAAAACTAGATATTTATATAAAAAATTAATTATATAACATCACTTGTTACAACTACTTTCTGTGGTTTTAATTGTTACTGGAATAAAACATTGTAATATGATTGTTCACTAATGCTTTAAGACTGAATGTCACTTCATGTTTTCAGCAATGTGTTAGCTAGCACCCAGTCAACAAATCCAATGATTTGTTTTAATTCCATTTTCTTAAGACTTACTTTTATTTGAAAGGGAGATTTACAGAGAGACACGTAGCGACAGAAAGAGAGAACTTCCACTCTGGTTTGTTACCCAAATGGCTGCAACCGCAGGACCTGGACCAGTCTTCAGCCAGGAGCCTGGAGCTACTTCTGAGTCTCCCACATGAGTGTAGCGGCCCAAGAACATAGCCATCCTGCACTGCTTTCCCAAGACATAAGCAGGGAGCTGGCTCCGAAGTAGAGCAGCCAGCACTTGAATTGATAGCCACATGGGATGCAGGCCCCTTAAGTAGAGGCCTGATCTTAGTGTTATTAACAGTTTTATGGAAAAATTCATAGTATCCAAAGTTTGCATGGATTTTAAAGCATTTTTAGTGACCAAATATTGTCCCTAGTTTTTCTCCATGAACTCTTTGAGGTACTTGTGTGTTTGTCTCAGTAAGCCTTTTATGTGATAAACATATGTAAGTCAGTTGAAGAATACTTTAGTCTTGTTTGAACTATCCCAGTTTGGAAATTCTTCGTAATAGGAGTCTTCTTCCTTCCTGGAAGTAGCAGAACTGCCTTTTTGGATGTCTGTTAATGACACCACCAGCCTTGTGAATTCATCTGTTTACAAACGTGCATGATGAGTGAAATTTTTTGTTTCAATTTCAGCTTTCAGAAGAACCTGGACCATGGAAAGAAAAATTACGGAAAGCTGCTGATGAAGCACAAATAGGACTTGAAAACACTAAAATACGCAGAAAACAACTTCTGAGGGATGCACGAGGCCTCTTTGAGGTTAATGACTCCTCTGATTTGTATGATTGAGCTGGCTGGAATTTTATTTTAACATGGAAATTTATAAAGTTTTACATGCCAAAAAAAAAGTTTTGCAAACAAATCCTTGCTATGGGAAATGATGAATTAAATTGCTAGACTGGGATCTTGAAACTATTCTTAGTGTCATAATCTTCCCCTCTGCACCCACATATTCCACAGCTATCGATTCAGCAAACCATAGATCAGAAATATTTGAAAACCAAATGAATTGTGTCTGACAGAATGTTTTCTTGTCATTATTCTCGATAGTGCTACCACAATTTCTGTCACAGAGTTAGCATTAGTAGCAGTATAGAACTGAGTTAAAATATAGGTATGTGTAGATTGTACCTGAATACTGCACTGCAGAGTATAAGAGCCTTGAGTAGCTGTGGATGTTGGCATTTAGGAGTTGGATGGTTGGTCCTTGGAACCTTCCACTTGTGGACACCAAATGATAAATGTATTGTTTAATTCTTTGCCTAAGCGTAAAAGATTGAAAGACCTTGAAATGCACGATAAACGCAACAAAAATGAGACACTAACCTGAACTGTGCTCAAATCTGAAGGCCCTGTTGTTTGTGCCTCAAATTCTAAAGAGTGAAGGGATGGAAGCATGGCAACTGTAGAGCAGAATAGATTTAGGTGGGTCTTTCCAGAGAAATACATGGCTCAGTCCTTTGATTTTTTTGGTTACAGTTCTGGAAAATCTGTTTCCAAAGGGAAAAAAAAATACCCAATACTGGGAGCCCTCTTATGCTCTAATTTGGATTCTTAAGAATGTGTTTTATCTCAGTTGAACTCCTCACTTCGTTCTGTTTTGTTTTGAATACATTAAAATTTGTAATCTTTATAACACAGATTTCATAATTCTATCAAATGTATCCTTGGGTTAATGATCACTATTATTTCTAGCAGATAATTATGTCATATAAAGCATTTTACCATTTAAAAATAAATATTTAGCAAGAATGAGCCATTATGAGATCTTCCATGTAGGAATCACTAGTTCTGGTTTTATCTTGGAGCACTTAATAGCCAATAATATGTTACAGCTTCTCTACCTGTGTGAAAGGGAGAGAGACAGAGAGAGATAGACTTACATAAAGCTTTCCCACTTGCTGTTTCTCTTTAGTACCCAGAAGAGCCTTGGCTGGGCCTTGTAGCCAGCAGTCAGGAGCTCCATCTGAGAGGAGTGGCAGGGACACATCTACCTGAACTGCCCGCTGGTGAGGTGGTGGTGTTCATGGAAGGGAACTAGCAAGAAATTGGAATCAAGAGATAGAGTCAGAATGGGAATCCAGACATTTAGATGGAGAATGAGCGTCTCAAGGGGTGTCTTTTTCAAAAAAAAAATTATTTATTGTTATTGAAAAGGCAGATATACTGAGAGAAGGAGATGAAGAAAGATATTCTGTCCACTGATTCACACCCCATGCGGCCACAATGGCTAGAGCTGAGCTGACCAAAGCCAAGAGCCAGGAGCTTCAAGCTTCTTTCGGGTCTTCCATGCTGGTGCAGGGTCTCAAGGCTTTGGGTCTTCCTCAGCTGCTTTCACAGGCCACAAGCAGGGAGCTAGATGGGAAGTGGAGCAGCTGCGACATGAACCAGTGTCCTTATGGGATCCTGGTGTGTGCAAGGCAAGGATTTTAGCCACTAGACTACTGCACTGAGCCCTCAAGATGTGCCTTAACCACTGTGCCAAATACCCACCCTATGTAGATTCATTCAAAAACTGTACTTGTACATCCACAAGTTGTAAAGTTGGGCTGGCATTGTCATATGTAGGTGAAGCTGCCACATACATTAGCATCTCATACAGCTTTTTGCTAACTTACCTGGAAAGGCTACCGAAAGATGGCCCAATTCCGTGGACCTCTGCCAGCTGTGTGGAAGACCCAGATGGAGGCTGTGACTCCTGGTTTCACAATGTTACAGTAATTTAGGGAGCAAACCCATGAATAGAAGAGTGTGTCTGTATCTGTCTCCTCCTATTTGTCCTTTGACTGTCAAATAAATACGTACAGAAGTCTTGAAAGAAATAATGAATACACTAGTGTAAGTCATTCACCTTTTTCTTTTGTTTTGTTTTTTGCTCAACATCAAATGTCTAACTGATCCCTTACTAAAGGTGAAAGACCCGTCTTCATCTCTCGTCGTTGTAGAAGACACAACTAAAAATAATGACAAGACAAACTTGAACGTGAAGAATGACGAAAACAATTGTGGTCCTTTAGGTATTAAATCAGTATTCACCTCTTAATAAAATTATGACTAGTTCTTTTCTTCTGTTTGTTTTTTGTTCCCCCTCTAGACTTTTTTGCGGGGTGGTTTCAGGGTTTTACTTGAGCACAAATGTAAAGTTTGCACCCAGCTTGCTGCTCATTTTCTTTGCTGAGCAGCCTAGCATTGGGATTGGTGACTCAGATGGACAGCTGGGCTGCCATTTCCCTGAGGGCTTTGCAGTTCTTGGAGGAGACATTGTGAGCAATCTCTGCACAGCAGGATTTGTTGCACATGAGTAGCACCTCTAACTCCTTGATGTCATGCGCCAGGAACTTCCAGAAGCCACTGGGCAGCCTGTGCTTTGTCTTCTTGTTGCCCCAGTAACCATTGTTGGGCATCAGTATCTGGCCCTGAACCTCTCGCACACCTTGTAGTCAGTGCCTTTGGGCTCCTGCCAGTTCTGCTTAATTTTGACATAGTGGCAAGCCTGGTGCCAGATGTACTTTTTGGTCCTCTTCTTGATGACCTTGGGTTCAGCAGGGGTCTGAGGGCAGCCATGATACCTTTGGGGAAGCAGCAAAGCCACAAGTATAACCCATGCTCCCTGGAGTGAGTTGCTCTGCTTGGGGTACACACACTATGTCAGTGTCTTCCAGTTGCCGGTCTGTGGCAAGCTGAGAATGGAATGGCCAGCTGTGTGGCTTCGCTCCCCCTCCCACCTCCAAAGCTGACAGAGCACTGGCCACACTCGAGATGGCATCTGGGACGTGGAGGCCATGTTCTTAGTATACTTGTGCTTTGACAAGTTGGAAACAGTGTCACTGTCTCACTTTGCATTTATCTTCAGTTGGAGCAGCCCTGGTAAATCCCTTCAACACCTCATAGACCAGTGCTTGTTTTTCTCTGTGTTGTAGGCCACAAAAATGAACAGGTGACTCATTCAAAAAATGAATGCCACACAAATCACAAATTCCTAACTCAAGATTTTTATTAAGTTCATTTGTTACACTACTTTGGGTCACCACCATAATTTTTTGCCATTATCCACTGCAGTCTGGACTTGCCAAAAAAAGGGTTAGCTGAAGCCATGCACGGTGTTCTCAAACCGATTTTGGTGACTTTCATTTTTATTATTTATTTTATATATATATTTTTATTGTTATTAACATTGTATTATGTGATACAGTTTTATAGGCACTGGGGATTTCCCCCACCCCTCCCACATCCCTCCCCCATAGTGGATTCCTCCACCTTGCTGCATAACCACAGTTCAAGTTCAGTTGAGATTCCTTCATTGCAAGCATATACCTAGCATAAAGTCCAGCATCTTATTGTCCAGATAAGTTCAGTAGCCTCTTGGGGAGACACTCTCTGGTCTGAAGGTAGAGCTAACAGAGTAAAGATCCGGTCAGTTAAAAGCCCCAACAAAACATCAGCATCAATATAACAATGTTATGGAATTAATTGACATAGTATTGAGTAAACAATATGTTAAAAATAATGCAAGTTCAATTCTTCAAAACATCTGGGTTGAGACAGTATCAATGACAGGTTCAAAAAATAACAACCAACCAAACAAAAATTACAGGTTAAATCATTTTCTTGCAAGGCAAACATGTGGTATGTAACCTTTTGGGATTCGCTCATTTCCCTTAGCATTATAGTTTCCAGTTGGGCCCATTTAGCCACAAAGAACTGCATTTTGTTTTTTTAATAGCTGAGTAGTATTCCATGGAGTAGATGAACCAAAGCTTTCTTATCCAATCTTCTGCTGATGGGCATTTCGGTTGCTTGCATGTTTTTGCAATTACTGATTGTGCTGCTGTGAACATAGGGATGCATGTTGGTTTGTCGTAAAACAGGTGTTTTGGATATATTCCTAGGAGTGCTATTGCTAGGTCATATGGTATGCAGATTTTGAGTTGTTTGAGTGTTCTCCAGACTGATTTCCATAAAGGCTGTACCAACTTGCAGCTCCACCAGCAGTGGAGTAGGGTTCCCTTTTCCCCGCATCCTCGCCAACAAGTGTCGCTGGTGTTCTTTTATATGTGGGCCAATCTTACTGGTGTTAGGTGGTACCTCATCGATGTCTTAATTTGGATTTCCCTTATTGCCAGGGAACTGGAGCATTTTTTCATATGTTTGTTTGCCATTTGGGCTTGTTCCTTTGTGAAATGTTTGCCCATTTCCCGTGCCCATTTCTTGAGTGGCTTGTTTGTTTTGGTGTTTTGGTTGTTTTGAAGTTCTTTGTATATCCTGGAGATTAGCCCACTATCGCCTACCTAGTGCGCAAAGATCTTCTCCCATTCTGTGGGTTGGTTTTTTACTTTGCTGATAGTTTCCCTTGCTGTACAGAAGCTTCTTAGTTTGATGAGGTCCCATTTGTTTATTCTGTTCTTAACTGCTATTGCTTTTGGCGGCCTTCTTAGAAAGTCAGGACCTACTCCTAGGTCCTTCCGGGTATTTCCAACATTTTCTTGCAAGAGTTTGAAGGTTTCTGGATGTAGGTTTAGGTCTTTTATCCATGTAGATTGGATCTTAGTGTATGGTGACAGATGTGGGTCTATCTTTTTGTGTCTGCAGGCTATCAGCAGGGAAAAAGATGGCCGACCTCGAGGAGCTGTTATAAGGTGGAGAACAAAGAGAGAAGGACCGATCCAGCCGAAAAACAAACCAGGAGACACAGAATTGCAGGGAGAGGAGTGGGAAAGACACTAGACTGCACTGAAGTAAGATCAACTCAGCCTGCAGGGACAGTGAGAAAAAAAAAGAAAAGAAAGAGAGGACGTCGCACAGGACTTGGTGAGTTTCAGTCCCACACAGGTGGAAGGTTGGCTGCGCAATCTTGGCGACCCAGGGAAGACAAGGGCAACTGCAAAAACCAGCTCCCGCACCAGCGGGAGCCA